CGAACAATTTTGAATTTAAATTGGGTTTAGAATTTTACATATTAACAAGGGTCATTATAAAATATAATTTCCATCCATTTGTTATACCTAGTATACAACCACTGCCTTCGGAAAGAGTTGTGAGGATAAAATGCTGTAATGATGGACACATACTTAAAAAATACAGTATGCTTGCATTACTGTTCCTATTCAACCACCTGATGTAGACTTAACATTTCCATTTCCATTTCAAAATAAAAAAATATTAATTTGACTTTTTAAAGTTGATCATACTTTCCAAATTATTTTTACCAAGTTATTGACTTTACTTGAATTGTTGATTACTCAAATATTGTCTTAATGGACATCACATAAACCCTAAGTTTTGTTCTATTTCCTAAACGCTCTATATCACATTATTTTCTAGTCCAGGTTTTCTTCCACAAAGTAGAGTATTGCTCCTTTCTTAAGAGTGATTTGGACGTCTTTGTTTCTCAGACTATAGATTAAGGGATTGAGAAGGGGTGTGAGCACTCAGTGGAGAAGTGAGAAAAATCTTGTTCAGATTGACTGTTGTTCCTAATGCTAATATTATGTACACCACAACCATTATGCCATAAAACGCACAACAATCAAGTGGGAGGAACAAGTGGGAAATGTTCTGTACCTCCCTGTATAAAAATAGATCTTAAAATGGAGTACAGAATACAACCATAAGATAAACAGGTTCAAAGGAAAGGAGACAAGGATAAGAATGATGAAGCAAAGGTCACCTTCTCCACCATTGTAGCTTCTGCGCAAGAGAGCTTCACCAGTGGGAAGAAGTCACAAAAGAAATAATGTGAGGTCTATAATGTGAGGACCACAGAAGGTTAATGCCACAAGCAAAATTAGCAAGGATCCCAGGAAGAGAAAACCACCAATCCATGATTCAGCTGCCAGCTTGACACAGCTCTGCCATCCATAATCACTGGGTATTTTAGGGACCAACCGATGGCCAAGTAGAGATCATAGGACATGATGGCCAGGAAGAAACACTCTACAGTGAGTAGGGCCCCAACAGCATAGAGTTGCACCACAGAGGCAGTAAAGGAGCTAGTGACACCACCAGCTAAGACTCCTTCAGCAGCTGAGGGGCAACGCTGCTAGTGTACTCAAGATCCATGCTGCATAAGGGGCACAGGAAGAAATACACTGTAATATAAAGGCGTGGGCTTGTCTGGATGGTGGGGATCAGCAGCAGGTTATCACACAGTGTCACAACATAACTCTCTGGTGTCCTTTGGGATATACTGCTGCCCACCAAAATTTTCTGCCTCTCAGATTTCTCAGGAAGCTGCTTTCCCACTGATGGTACATGCAACCATTAGGAGAGGATTTTATGACTGTTGGAAAAAAAAAAATGGGTATATGTCACAAACTACTGCTTTTACAGGGTAGGGTATTGCATAAGGTGTGTGCATTTTGGTAGGAAATGTAGAAATTCTGAAAATTTTAATTTGGTATACATATGTACCACTTAACTCTGGAGGGACTCTCGGGTAGAATTAGTGGGACAACTTATGTCTCTCTAGTCTCTAAGGGTAGGCTTCTGGGAAGTGGCAAGAAAAAAAATTCAGAGACACTCAATGATTCAGCATGATTACATTAATGAAAACACCTGAACAAAAAAATTCAAAGCACAAAGTAATTGGGTCACCAAAGGGATAAAAGCTGAGTAACAAAGAGAAAAGGGCAGTCCAAACTCTTTGAGGTTCCCAAATCCCAGCAAGGTCACATAATAATAATGGAGATATTTCCTCTCTGGTTGTCTTCCATCTGAGGACTACAGTTAAAATTTTATGTTGTAGGGTGAAATAATTTAAAATAACATATTTTCAGAGCAACTTTTGTCAACCATAACCAGTTTAGACCATCCCTGGTTGTTTCCAACTAAAAACCTTACTTAACTCATATTTTCCAAATCTTCATCTTCTTGAAATTTCATCATTATAAAGCCAGAACCCTTGCACGTATTATAAATAAAAGTACATGTGATCCAATCAGAATTTTGCCCCTTTTTTGTAAAAACCTGCCTTTGCTTATGTGACAACTTTCCAAAATTTACTTCAGGACTTTGAATTAATTGTCAAAGTTTGTTGTTGTTATTGTTATATACAATCAGGTGAGCTCTGACTCATTGGGACCTTATGTATAACAGAAGGAAATGTTGTCTGGTCAGTCTTGTGTCATCTCCGTGATACTTGGTATTCTCTCAACAGAGAAAAAAGGGAGTGGGGAAAGAGCTTGAACCAAAGGAATACCAAAAGACAAGAAAGAAGAGGGGAAGAGAGAGAAAAAGAAATGGAAAAAATGGAATAAAGAAGGGAGGAAAGTAGGGAAAGACAGAGAGAAGGGAGAGAATGACAAAAGGATGAAAGTAGAGAAGAAAGGAAGGAAGATAAGTTATAGCCGAAATGTGCAGAAATATAAACATTGGTATGATTTTGAGAAATTGATATAGTATGAAAAAAAGAATCGATACACTGTTGGCCACTGGAATATTCTTTTTAAAATATTCCAAGCTCATGATACAAAATCTAGCACAATTCTTTGCCTTTTTGATCAATATTAATATATGTAAACTAATGGTGTATTTTTTAAACATTTAAATCAAATCTTAGGTTATAATTTAAAAATCTGATATGGTGTCAGAAGATAATTTGAGAGTTATCAAATATTTTTGTTAATAATATATTGCTGAATACAAAGTTCTGCAACCTTCTTTATTAACCCAGTGGATCAATAGCTCATATACTAGAGATGAGAAAAGTTCTTATGAAGTGAAATCTCTCCACCTGCTTCATTTAATAAGAAGAAATTAGAATTATTACGGCTTTAGTAACTTTAATTTTCTACAAATAAATCTTCAGTATAATAAGCATGGCAAATTCTATAACTTTTTTCTTAGCATTTCGCAACAATCTCCTCCAGTTTTGGAACAAGGCTAGAATTGTGGTAGACTTCGTGAGAGACACATCATTTATGACAGGAGAGAATTTAGATTACACAGTGGTTTGTGTAACACGGATATAAGCTTGGTGAAGCCAAATAATCAAATAACTGATGAAATATTAAATAAATATTTGAGTACCAAGTATCCATAATGAGATTTTAAGATTTTATTCAATTTTATGTGGGATTACATTTAACAAATTCCATAAATTATTTTTTAATACAGTAAGATTGTTATTTGATTCTTTCATTTCACATGTAAACTCTGCATAGAGAATAAATTAAGGAAGAAAAAAAACACACAAATCTCAAATATGTACTATTATTTCTTCATTTTCTTCTTCAGCTCTGTATGGATTTCCTCATTTATCTAAGGTAAAATAACAGATATTTGATCAACCATGACTATAAATAACCCTGGAATGTTGTAGAAGATACAAATTTAGACATTGCTGAATTTTGGAGAATGAAAATGATCTAAAGCATGGCATCCCAAAGACCATTGCAGTTCCTAGTCTGTAAGACAAAGGTACACAGGCTAAGGTTATTATTTGTTAAAATTTTGGAAATTAGTAAACATCAATGACAGTACAGAGAAGGAAAGAACAGGATGTCTTTGAATAATACAAGAACACCTCACTAGTCATGTGACCACTTCACTTAATCATAAAGGAAGGACAGAAAGCTGCTAAGAGAAAGAGAGATGATGTTGAATGCCAGAGAGTAAGAGAGAATTATAAATGCAGAGAGTGGTGGATATTGCCTGTGATAACAGAAATACTCATATGTGATGACCAGACTGGGGACTATTTTTTGGAAAGTAATTGAGAGGTACAGCATTGGAAAAAATGATGGAGAAAATTATACATTATTACTGACTTAACGTGGTATATTACATAAGCAGTTGTCCAGAGAAAAGATGTTCACACTTTTAAGTGTGAGAGGAAGAGACAACCCAGTGAGAATAAAGACTAATCCACAGATCCACAGTCTGAAACGATAGCTCTCTATTCGTCATGAATGGAAGTTCTAAAGTAAAACAGTCTTATTTCAGGGATTTTAGTCTGAGTAGCTGGGGAAAACATTGTATAGGGTAGTTGATGAGAAGACTGTTGTGTGTTTGTGCATGTGTGTGTGTCAGAAGATCATGTGTAGTTTTGAACATTTTGAGGTTAAGATGTTATTAATATAGTAAACAAAATTAGATATCTATAGTTGGAGGAGCAGAAAAGTATGTGCTATCCTTGGTGGGACAGGTGGAACTAAGAATGGATATCGTCGCAGGAAAAGAGAAAGAATGAGACAAATAAAGAATAATCAGAAATCAAAGCTGAAGAAGAGAAAGACCAAAATGATCAGGTTTCAGAGGCATAGCAGGATAAGTGGTTAGGCAAAGAAGGTCCTGTCTATCCATTTCTAAAAATTAGCCAAAAAAAATTATGGATTACCACAGAACATTGTTTGAGTCACTTGCTTTGGAAAAGTTATCGTGATGGATCAATTGCTGGACGAAGACATCATGTTTGATGACACAGAGAAACAATGAGGGCAAGGGAGTAGCTTGACAAGATGGACTGGCACAACAGCCACGACAATGGACTCAAACATGCTGACAATTGTGAGGATGAAACAGAATCAGGCAACACTTCTTTCTCTTCTGCATAAGCTCTCTGTAAGTCAGAGGCCACACAACAGCAGCTATCAATGACAGCAACCTGTAGATGATGAATGTGTGTGTGTGTATACATTTCCATACATACATAGGTATGTACTCAATATATCAATAGAAAATTTTTCTTTCTATGAATTCTTCCACTTCTTCTTGTGAACTGAGCCTAAGTGAAGTGCTGTGTGAGTAATAGAGTCCCTTGGTGGTATAAACAGTTAAAGCACTGGGCCGCAAACCAAAAAGTTTGGAGGTTCAGTTCACCAAGAGGTATCACTGAAGAAAGTCCTCACAATCTACTTCTGAAAAATCAGCCACTGAAAATCCTAGACAGCAAAGTTCTACTCTGACACACATGGAATCACCATGAGTCAGAATAGACGCAAGGCAACTGGTAACTACAAGTAGTATTGACATAGTATCGTGCTTGCTGTAAACATATCTTACGACATAAAACCTTTCTGAGTGCACCTTTTACCTCCTTGTTCCTCAGGCTGTAGATGATGGGGTTTAACATTGGGGTAACAACCCCATACAGCATTGAGATGAGCCTGTCTCTGGCTGGGGAGTGGTGACTGGAGGAAGGGCGGATGTAGGTAAATATCGTTGTGCCATAGAACAAACAAACCACAAGGAGGTGAGAAGCACATGTGGAAAAGGCTTTGCGCTTCCCTTCAGCTGAGCGGATCTTCAGGATGGCGGATATGATGTAATTATAAGAGATACCAGTGATCAGGAAAGCACTGATGCCCAAGACACCTCCTACCACTAAGACAAGCATTTCTGCCACATACGTGGAAGAACAGGAGAGGGCCATCACTGGAGGGATGTCACAATAATACTGGTTGACCAGATTGGATTTACAGAAAGAAAGATGGAACGTGAACACTGTGTGTAGAAGAGAATTGAGAAACCCTGCTGCCCAGGTACTGACTGTGAGCTGAATACAGCGCCCCTTTGTCATGATAAGGGTGTAAGGAAGGGGGAAACATATGGCCATGTACCGGTCATAAGCCATGACAGCAAGAAGGAACACTTCAGTGCCTACCAGGGCCACCAGGAAATAAAGCTGCAAAGCACACCCAGCAAAAGAAATGCTTTGATTCTCGGTCAAAAGGTTCTCGAGCATCTTGGGAACAGTAGCTGATGGGCAGAAAATATCTAAGAGGGATAGATTTGCCAAAAAATAATACATGGGTGTGTGCAGCTTTTGCTCAGTCCCAATAGCAAGGAGAATGGCCCCATTTCCCACCAAGGTGACCTGATAGATGACAGCAAAGGCCCCGAAGAGAGGGTAGCGCACCTCTGGGAGGTTAGAGAGCCCTATGAGGATGAACTCTGTGATGGCAGTTTGGTTGGAGACATCCATCTCCTCTCTCCACATGTTTCTGGAGGGAATGAAACCGACAGATGTGGGTTAGTCTCAAAACCAAGGAATCCAATGAAGAGAGACACTTGGGAAATATTTGATATATGGTTGGTGATGAATTAAGTTAGCCCTACTTTAATTAAAGATTTCAGATATTGGAACCACTGTTTAAAGCATCCTCTATATTCATGACAGTTCTTGGAATATTCATCCTCGATGCCTTAGAAGAGGAAGCTCCCTCAGTAGGCAACTAAAGAGCCATTTAAAATTTCACTTTCTGGGTAAAACCACTTCTGACTCCTCAGCAGTATTTGGGATTTAACAATTCAGTGAAAGGTGATAGTGAATATTTCACATCTACTTAGGCACTAGGAGCCCTGGTGGCACAGTGGTTAAGCACTTGGCTGCTAACCAAAAGGTCAGTGGTTCACCACCCAGTCAGTGGGAGAAAAATGTGGCAAACTGCTTCCCTAAAGATTACAGCCTTGGAAACCCTATGGGGCAATTATAAGGCAGTTCTAGTATGTTCTATAGATTCAATATGAGTCAGAATTGACTCTAGGGCAAAAAATTTGGTTTACTTAGGCACTTTATTCTGCCTTGTGTTATCACAATATGTATAGTTTTATCCACTGTATCAGTACTAAGTACCCTGAAGGTAGAAGCTGTGTATTATTCCTTGATATATAAATTTTAATAAGAGTTAGTAACTAGCAGAGTGTAAAAGGCAGATAAATGTTGAGTGTAGGAATGACTGAAGACTGAATTATGTGTTACCTGCCCTTACAAAATGTTTCTACTATGAAAGAATAAATATGGAAATGTTTCCATAACTTCAAAACCTTAATTGTTTAAATATGAACATTGTCTTGTTATTTCCTCATAGAATGTACCTTAATAAAACTTAATTTAACCAGTAAAATAGAAATAAACCCTAACTGATTGTGTCTGATTGTAACTCTAAAAAGAACCAGACACACTCACATGTATATTTAACTCCCTTTCCCCTTAAACCAAAAATAAAAATAAAAATAAAAACCTTTTGCCTACAAGTCCAGTCTGACTTAGAGTGACCCTATAGGACAGTGTAGAGCTGCCCTATAGGGTTTCCAAGGCTGTAATCTTTATGGAAGCAGACTGCCACATCTTTCTCCCAAGGAGTGGCTGCTGTGTACCAACCGCTGACCTTTCGGTTTCCAGCAGAGCACTTTAACCTCTGAGTCACCAGGGCTTCTTCCTTTCCCTTGCAAATGTACATTTTTGACCGTGTCTCTAAGAACACTTAAGGAAATATGGGATTTCAAAAAATTACATATGCTAGAACATATCAGCCTTATTTACTCTCAATTAATTCTTTAATTACACTTGGGTATACCTTAACAGCCCAAACAATCACCATGTCAGGACTACTTACAAAAAAAGATTTTAATTTAACAGAAGTTCTGAAAATCAATACTTCTGTGAATTTTTTTCTGTCAGTATTAATAGTTACTTCTTCTTCTTTTTTTTTTTTTTTTAGCATCCCAACCTCATGATAGAAAATTCAAACAGAATAGAAGGTTAGAAAATGAAATGCAAAACTCACTTTCTATGATCCCACTCCCCCATTCATTTTACCTCATGAAAACTGGTAATGATGTCTTAGCTCAGATAATATTCGGGGTATAAATAATGCAAATTATACATAATTATTTCTTAATACAAATGGAGTGACATTGTTTTCTGCCACCTTTTTTTTTCCTAAAAGATTTAAATAAGAATCTCTGAGATTACCTGGGAGATGTTACTATTCTTTCCTCAAGCAGCACCAGCTCTGTACTGTACAGGAGAGAAAAGTAATCTCTATCAGCAATGCTCATCAAATCATGCAATTTGAGAGAGAAAATTGCTACAACAAGCACAAAGTGCTTGGATAACATTTTTCAGTCAAAGATTTTTGAGTGAGTAAATGGAGCAAGGTTAAAACAAACCAAAAACATCTGCTGTATCAATTGTCAAATGTTCAACATTCTGTAGAACAATTACATTTCAGTTTATCTATATGTTTATATATTAGTACTTTGAAAAGATAATAGCAAATATAAGAAATTAAAGAAGATATTTTATTATAAGAAATAATATTTTGATACAGTGAATATTAATTTCTTTATTAGAGACTTCTGTCTGCACTTACTAATTTAACTTATTTTTTTTCTAAACAAGGAATAAGAAACAAGTCAGTAACCTTCTGATAAAAACACCTAAGCTGGCTCTACACCAGGCTGTATGATCAACATGCATTCTCCAAAAAATAAGAATGTATTTTTGCTAAATTTTGTACTTGATTTAGAAAAGAAATTCTAAACAAAATTTAGGATCTTGGCATATAGAGTGTAGAAATTGTTCAACTGGAGAGTCCTTATATTTATATTAGTGATCCCTTCCTTTTGAAGCAAATATAATTAAATGTCACATATTTGTCCATCTAATTAGAAAAATAGGAGCCATATTTTTGTTAATCATATATTGAATAACGTACTGGACAATCGGAAAAGTCCTTATGGAGTGAAATCTTTACACCTGCTTTGTGAGATGACTTGGTGCAAATATAAGCATATAAAGACATTAAGAGTATATGTTGAAGTTCAGCTTTTGTCATAGTCATATATGGTCAAACATTAATGAGACTCCAGAGCAAGGGGCTTATGACCCAGGAAAATTACTCAGAAATCAAGTTTTCTTGTTATGTCTACATTTTATCCTTTTACATATGGTGAAAGGCAAAGTTACTATGCATGAAACTTTTCTCTGAAGAAAATAATGACTCCAATTCCACTAAATAGAGAAAAAGAAAATTAGTTAATTAAGCAAAATCATTGCTGATAGATCTTGGAGCTTACGAAAATTCAAAATTTTTAATGTATTTAGTATATCAATATCAAGGAAACAGTACAGTTAAATTTTATTAGAAAAATAAGAGGCTGCCGAATTTTTTCAAAAAATATATTGCTTAGAAGAGTTTCAGCAACCTTCCTTTTCAACCCGATGGATCAATAGTAAATAAACTAGAGGAAGCAGAAACAAAAACAAAAAACCTAAAGTGCAATCCCTCCACGTGTGTTTTGACATCCGTGTGGTCTATTACGTCTAATGGACTCAATTTTCTAGGAAGCACAAACCCAGGAGCCCATGGGTCATAAACGTTTATTGTTAGATAGAGCAAAGAATACGGACACACACCGGGATGGCCATACACACTTGTTTAGCACTGAAATTAATCAAACAATTTTTATACATTTATTTAGCAACTCACTGTATAATAATGATTAAAAAAACTCTTACCTGTTTAATATATGGTTTTAACTAGTTTCTTAAATGTGTAAATTTTCACAGCATATTAACATCTTTACAAATAGCAATTATTTATCTTAGAAAATCCGGAATTTATCACACAGTTTTCTTGTTTTTTTCAGTTTCAGAGATTTCATTATCAATATAAACTTTCAACAAGAACGTACAATGATCCAGCCAACAATAATAACATCAGTAAAGAAAAGCAAACTCCTCATTTACATATAGAGTTCCTATTGGAATTTATTCTACAATTTGTATTATGCTCACTCTTCCCCTGAGGGGTAGGGAAAACACAATTAGGTCTCTAGAGAAAATATTCTTCTTTTCTTGCTAAATCTAAATTACTACTTACCAAAAATGGGCACTCATTTTAAAGCTAATTTGTTTAAATTTAGAGGATTGACTATATTGTTTCTTGTAATGGACCACAACGGAAGTTTTCCCAGTAGTGCTAAACAAAAGTAAAGAATAAACTGTTATTGTGATATATATATTTTAATGATCAGAGTAATCTTCCAGGAAAATATAATAATATCATCCACTTGTTATAAATTTGCATTTTTCATGATAGGTAAACTTTAAAATTATTTTTACTGTTTAATATACACTTTTATATTGTTAAGACTATTTGCCAAGCCCATGAAAATTTGTGTTGTTGCAACCCTTTAGACCCTAGCTAAGTATAATTTCAACCTTTAATTTCTAACTTGATTTTTCAACAGTATATTGATTTCCTATGACCGTGTATATTATTTTAAATTAACTATTTTAATTCAAATCACACATTTTAAATACATATTTTAAGAACTCATGAGTTTATACTAATACTTCTAATTTCAATTAAAAATCAATAAAATACCTCCAAGTGCACTTTCTCTTATTTCATATTGCATTTTTATAATTTCCATTTCGCTTAGTGAAAATCCTGGTTTATAAAATAATCTTTTATTTAATTCTGTGCTCTAGTCAACAATAAATGCTCGTTAATTTTGTAATTACTACACTAGTGCTACTATTATTGACCAAAAAAAAAAGTTCAAGATCACTTTACCTTCAAAATATGTTTCACTAAATTTGTATACTCAGCATACTGTGTTCATGATTTATTGGAATTTTATTTTTCTTCATGGCTACAATAGGAATTTCATGTACAGTTAGGCTGCTTTTCCTGTTTGTAGTCAATATTAAGACTTGCTTTTTCATCCATCTAAATATAATTTATATTTAAATGAGAACATATACAATGTCATAACAACAAAAATGTATACTCAGACATTCCATTTCTGTATATATACTAAGGAATGTATATAAAGTAGGAAATATATATATATATATATAATGTTGCTCTGTGCTGTCGAGTCCATTCCAACTCACAGCGACCCCATGTGACAGAGTAGAACTGTCCCATAGGGTTTCTTAGTCTGTATTCTTTACAGGAGCAGATCACCAGGTCTTTTCTCCTACTGAGCTGCTGGTGAGTTCAAACCCCTGACCTTCTGGTTAGCAGCCGAGCACTTAACCATTGCACCACCAGGACTCCTATCTATAATAGGGAATATACATATAATAGAGGCTATATATGTAATAGATAATATATATTAAAATATATATAATAGAGAATATATATGTATATATATAATTTTCTTTTTGTTGCACAAAAAGATGCA